GCCAAGGCTGGAGGCTGTGGTGCCGCCTTTCCATCCGGAAAACGTGTGTTTGGCGTTCAGCCATCGTCTGGAGACCCATGGAGGTCTTCCTCCGACTGTTGCCAGGGCCGGTTTCCCGCGCGCTGCCGTCAGGACCGTAGAGAACAGGCCATGCACACCTTCTTCTAGGGCAGTGGTCCTCGACCTTCCTACTGCCGTGACCCTTTCATACGGTTCCTCACGAGGTGGTGACCCCCCAACCATAAAATTACTTTCATTGCTGCTTCATCACAGTCATTTTACTCCTGTCATGAATTGGGCGACCCCTGTGAAAGGGTCGTTCCACCCACCCCCCAAAGGGGTCTGGGCCCACAGGTGGAGAACCGCTGGGCTAGGTCCTCAGTTTCCCACAAAGACCCTCTACAAGATAGACGGACCCTTCTGGCTGCTGCGACGAGCTCAGACACCGGCGGCACCACGGCAAAGGTGGCACAGGGCCGAGCCTGTGTGGTGCTGCGGAGTCCAGGGTCGCCTCAGGCCAGACTAACCAGAAGGCACCGAGCCACACGCATGACGTCTGCAGGATCCATCTCTTCTGAGATACCACAGAGATGAAGCAAGCAAGCTGAAGACCCAGCGATGGCCAAGCCCCACGAAGATCACCCAGAGCCAGCAGCGGTTCAGAGAGATCAAAGCCTCTCCCCGGGGCCTGCCTTCCCTGAGAGCCACTTCCAGGAAGTCAGGCCATGAGGGAGAAAGACGGGGCTGCGTACCCCTGTGAAGAGGGACCATTCCCGAGCACACGGCGCCATGCTTTCCTGCAGCACCTGCACTGGGATCAAGAGGCAGCTGGGCGAGCACAGCAGGGGCACCCTGGGTGGTTTGACACCAGGCTGCATCCCATCCCCCTACTAGTTCAGCCTGGACGCTGCTGAGTGAGTCCCCAGAGCAGCTGGAGTCTATGAAGAAGAACGGAGTCGGGATCGGAGGAGGGACGATTAACCACCTGCATCATGTGGCCGTCACCGCCCGTGCTCACTGAAAGCCCCCGCCGATGGACATCCAGGATCCCAGCCCCCGGCATCGGTTACAACGGCATGTCCAGGAGGCCAGAATCCTTACAACCGAACCAGTAGGCCCCTCGTGATGGACGGAGAGGAGCTTGAAGAGGCCCAGGGTTTCGTCTGGCCCGGATCCACAATCAGTGTTCCTGGAAGCAGCCGTCAAGAGGTGAAACGCGGGATGGGTCCCGTTGGGTAAATCTGCCTGCTGCCTGCGACCTCGTCCAAGCGTTGGAAAGCACAGGTGCTACTTTGGAGACTAAC